TAATATGTCAGTATTCATTCTTGGAATGAATTTCTCTCCTATAAAAACCTGTAAAATGGGAATCAGACACTTCAGCTGAGTGAGAAAATGTCTTTAAATTTGGGAACTGCTATAGAAAATGAGATTTTGCTTCATAAACATTTCTCTGAGAAATCAGAGATAATAAGTAACTGAGAGTAGGGATTTCCTCCCTCCATTTTGAAGCAATTACTTTTAAAATACTTTTCAAAATTAGGAAAATTTTAGCATGCATGGAGAGCAAATGAACATGTTTGGGATGTTCTTGTTTTGCCTAGCACTATAATTTGGTGTAGAGAATTGGGAATGTATTATAATAATGAGAATTGGCAGTGAATTACAGTCCTGTAGTTAAAATAACCTTTAAAATCACTATCTTTCATTATGAGTGTTTAAGTGCACAGAAAAGCCTCAAAAAAAAAAAAAAAAAGGAATGCATGAGTATTCACTCTCCTGGGTTTTAGCTCCTAGTGACGGTTCAGTGTTGAAATAGAGAGTATATCAATAAGACTGAGTCATGTAAAAAAGCAGGAGGAATAAATGTTAGTTGTGCAGACTAAGAAGTTTGTTCCAAAAACTGTGTATGCGCTGCTGCGCTTCCCTGATCCCTGCAAGCAGCAGTACTGTGCTGGCCTGCAAAGCAGTGACCCATTCTGGGTCACAAACCACACTGTTTGGATAGAATGGAATGTCTCATAGCCAGCTGTTCCAGACTGCCTTTCTCCCTGCTGTGCTGGCTGCACAAGCTGAACTCTCTGAGCACAGAAAAGGGAAATGTTCTGGCAGAACCCTGAACTGACACTAGGAGGTTTGTCAAATATATCACTGTCCATGGCGTGAAAGATACTGGAAGCTGAGGATAAACTTTTCACTCATAAGAAAAAATCTAGCATTATATTATCCATACTTCCCAACTATTCCACATCAGCTTGTACCTCTGTCCCCTGTGACCCTTCTCCATTTTCAGTGAACTCTTAGGCAGCCTTAGAATGGATCTTGTAGGATCATATTTACAGGAAAATGGACATGTACTAAATGAATCAGCCTAACCTTCTGGAACTAAAGAACAAGGTCATATTTGTGGATAAAAAAGCTGATGTTGCAAGAAGAAAGAAGAAACAGAAAAGTTGCTGACAGACAAAGGGGTGTCAACCCGAGTAAAATTACGCTTACAGCATCTACCAACTAGATTAAGAAAGAGATGCATGCTTGCCTCGTGGACAAAGTAGAGATACCAATCAAGAGATGCATGGACAAAGCAGAGCTACCAATTAAACAATGTGTGACTGTGTAGACCAAGATAGGAAGTAAATATAAACAATGTTTAGAAGCACAATAAATGTCTTTTGCTTGATTCACATTGAATTGCTCAGGGTCCTTTGATCTCCCCAGGATCTGACCGTAGTCTTATTTTTTCCAGAGAATTCAAACATTCATAATGACAGCAAGACATAAAGCATTCGTAATTACATCATAGAATTGTTTAAGTTGGAAAAGACCTTTTTAAGATGATTGAATCCAGACATTATCCCGAGCACCACACCTAGGTGTCCTTTAAAGATCTTCAGTGTTGGTAACTCTACCACTTCTCTGGACAGCCTGTTCCAATGCTTGAGCACTCTAGGTGAAGAAACTTTTTGTATTATTCTATCTGACCCTTCCCTAGCACAACTTGGGGTTATTTCATTGGGGAAAAAAGATCAATCTCCACCTGGCTACAACCTCATTTCAGGGACTTGTAGAGAGCAATAGTGTTACGCTCAAGCCTCCATTTCTCCAGCCTAAACACCTCCAGCTCCCTCAGCTGCTCCTCACAGGACTTGTGTTCCAGATTCTTCCCCAGCTCCATTGTCCTTCTCTGGACACGCTGCAGCACCTCAGTGTCTTTTTTGCAGTGAGGGGCCCAGAACTGGACACAGCACTCAAGGTATGGCCTCACCAGTGCTGAGTACAATCACTGCTCTGGTCCTACTGGCCACGCTAATCCCTGTTACAACCCAGGATGCTATTGGCCTTCTGGCCACCTGGACACAGCTAGCTCATGCTCAGCTGCTGTCAACCAGTACCCCTAGGTCCTTTTCCACCAGGCAGGTTTCTAGCCACTCTGCCCCAAGTCAGCAGTGTTGCATGGGATTGAACTTGTGCACCTGGCCTTGTTGAAACTCAAACAGTTGTCCTCAGTCCCTTGATCCAGCCTGTCCAGATCTCTGCAGAGCCTTCCTACTCTCCTGGAGGTCACCACTCCCATCCAACTTGTCATCTGCAAACAGACTGAGGATGTACTTGACACCTTTATCCAGACCATTGATAAAGATGCTGAACAGGGCTGGCCCCAGGACTAAACCCTGGAGAACACCACTGGTGACTGGCTGCCAGCTGTGTTTAATTCCATTCACCACCATCCTGGGCTTGGGTAACCAGCCAGTTTTTTCACCCAGCAAAGAGTACATCAGTTCAACCCATGACTATCCAGTTTCTTCAGAAGACTGTTGTAGAGGGGAATCAGATAAGACAAGCAGGACTTGCCTTATGGCCTTGCTGACTGGGCCTGATCCTCTGGTTGCCCTGGTACTTGTTACTGGATAGCACTCAAGATTATCTGCTCCATGGCCTTCCCCAGCAGCACAGTCAGACTGACAGGTCTGGTCCCGTAGCTGAAGTATTCACAGAAATTTTTTTTGTGTGTCTTTTAGGGCAGTAGCCAGATAAAGCTGCAATTGGGTTTTGGCCCTCCTAATTTTCTTCCTGCTTAACCTCCTGTTTGCTCATGTTGTGTGCATTGGTGTAATGACACTTCAGCTGAGCTGCTGATTTCACCACCTCCTTGGGGAGAGAAACTCTAATTCTTACATGACCATTCTCAGGTGCTTCCATGGTTTCTAAAACATCACTGACCTTTGTGTCTTTTTTGCCATATGGATCTCCATCCCCTGCCTTCACTGGTGGACAGAAGGAACTCGCTAGCACATAGTCACTCAAAAACTGGTGGGCTACCTTCAAGTTTGCCTCTAGTGAGCCTGATTTTACCACTTTCCCCATTTTAGTTTAAAGTTGTTTTGATAAGCCCTGTTAATTTCTGCGCAAAGATCCTTTTCCTCCTTTGGGACAGATGTACCCAATCCACTGCCAGAAGGTCTAGTGTTAAGTAGACCAAATCATGATCAAAATCCCTAAATTCTGTAGGTGACACTACTTGGAGCCAAGTATTGGTCTGTTGGATTGTACCATTCCTTCCCTGCAACAGGATGGATAGAGGACAGTGACAGTTGTACTCCTGATCCCTTAACAATCATCCCAAGGCCCTGGAGTCTCTTACTTGCCCTTGAATTTCCTGTTGCAACTTCATCACTGTCTACCTGTAAAAACAGAAATTGGATAATAACCAAAGGGTTGTGCCACAGGGCGACACTTTCACTTTACATCTTTAACCCAGGCCCCGGGAAGGATGCAGACTTCCTGAAGAAGCCTGCCTGGTCTGCATATGGGTCTTTCTGTTCCTTTCAGAAAGGATCTTCTATGACACCAATCTGCCTTTTTTTCTTTTTATGTAAGTAATTTTGACAGGGGGCACAGACTGAATTAACTTTAGTGACAACTCCAAACCAGATTGGACCATCCTCCTCATTATTGTTCCATTCCATTATTGTTGCAGAGCCTCTCACCTCATGTGCCAGGTCACCTGGAGCGCTGGGGCAGTAGCAGATGAGACATGCAGGAGCCTGTCAACATTCCTCCATCTCTTAAGTCACTGTGCTTTGTCAGGCAGAGAAGCAGGAATCCCCTGTGTCATGCAGGGCTTGTCTGGAGATTCCAGCAGTTTGTTTCTCTCACACGCCCGGATATCCCCATTCCCAGAGCGCTAGCCCCTGTTCCAGGGATTGCCCACTGCTGCCCTCTGGTGCTGGTGTAGAGCAGGGCACAGCTATAAAGACTCTAAGCTTCAAACAGCCCACTAGACTCCCAAATTTATCACCTCTATTGAGCTAGTTAATATCTGTTTGAGCTAGTTAATAGATGTTTGTTTAGACTATATTAATCTACAGTTATCTTCTTCCAAGACAAAATAACTAGTGGTATGTTTCCATTTAACTGGTATATGCCAAATTAATCTGTAACTGTAAATAGAATTAAACACTCTGAGAGACAAAGGAAGCACTTCACTATGTACTATTTGGAAAGTATAGCCAAACATGCTGTGATAATTATCGTCAGGAGTTTTCTCCACAGTATAAGACTCTCTTAAAAGTAAGTTGCCTAAAAATTTCTTCTTTATTCAGAAGGAATTGCAAGATAGTGGTTGTGCACAGGAAGGAGAATTTCCTATTAGACTTATACAGATATAATTTTTCAGGTTGTGACAATACAATCTCTGACAAGATTCTGTTCCCCACATCTCTGCCTCTTTTCCAACCTATATGAATCTATGATTCTATGACTAGGTAGAAAGTGTTATTTTTAACAACACTCACCAGTGCATATGTTTACTCTTGTTTACTACTGACTAAAATCTCTCTATAACACTGCTATCATCTACAGAAACTCTGTCACTGTTTTCAGTAAGATTGCACTGCCTGCAGATTTTCTGTTCTCTGCCTGCATTTAATGCTCTTTCAACTGTTTACACTAAGAAGTAAATAACTTTTCTCCCAGATTTTTGCCTCTGCTATATTAAACGAGGCTCAGAGCAGTAGCTTTGTTTTCTCCTCATTTTTGCTGAGTGAATTTGTTAGGAAACAATGACAAATTTTCAAAGGCTAGCACCAGTTTTCTCTATTTGCTGATTTCTCTAACACAGCAGAAACAGAGAAACAGGTGCCAAGTGCAAGTTTAAATACAGTACTTAAACTATGTCTTTCATAAGAAATCTTATTAGATGGCTTTTAAAAACATTTAATAATTTGAAACTAAGCTCTAAGTTCCCTCATCTTTCTAACGAAGAAAAAAAGAAAACAAGAGGATGTCAAAAGTTGTGAAATACTCACAAATCTTGGAGTGCTGAGCAGCAAGTCGACACGACACAGAAGTTAGGATAAGGTTTGCACAAGTGACAGCAGCAAATGCTCCACCCCCTCCTCCATTCTGTTTTACTTTCAGTTGTTACATAAATAAATATGTATCTAATAAGGTAGAAGTTATTCTCAGGACAAAGAGCAGACCGCAGGGATTTCCTACTGCCATTTCCTAGCAACTTTCAAACTTGGGGGAAAAAAACCTAAACAAAACAACACAGAAAGAACTGCGGGGAAATACATATGCCTACAATTTAGAAGGCAGGCAAGTGACTGCCAAACACGAAAGGCAGCTGGCTGATTGCTATCTGAAGCATGGACCTTCCTGGACATTCCAGCTTAGCCTTCCCTAAAGGGAAGAAGGTTTATGGTTTGTGCCCTTTTTGCTGCGCCTGGTAACTTAAGTGTAACCTTCTGACCAGGGTTGGGCAAAGTTGCCTACCTTGGAAGCAGACACTGTAGCTTTGTGCTGTGACTCCTCCTCTTTCCAACGAGAACAGTGGTTTTTTTTTTACTGGCGCGGCTGCCTTAGAAGTGAAAATGCAGCGGCCTTCAGGACAACACCAAGAAGCCATGGAAGAAGATTATGAGGACAGAGAAGAGCTTCTCCAAAAGGCTTCTTCATCTGGCTTGCTGTGGAACAACAGGGCAGGAAGGTGGGATAGACCAGCAGAAGAGTATCCTTAGAATGAAAAGATTAATCTGAAAATTGCATTGAAATACTGAATTTTAGATTTTTAGCTGTAAAGAAAAGTGGAGGTTTAGGGTCTATAATAATCACTGGGAATGGCAGCTGTACAGCTAAAGTCCTGCCTAGACACCTCATCACAAAAAACCTTTTGTTCCTTGAGGTAAACTTGAATGTCTTGAAGATAAAGCTTAGCAGCTCCCCAGGAGTACTGTCAGGTTTCCAGGAGCCATCCTATGTAAGGTTCATGCATTCAAGAGGCAACAGTGAAAACAGTTCTTGATCTCTGTGCAATCTTTTTGACATCCTCGGCTGTGCTGTTCTGGGCGCTAGTTGTTATTCTGTGCATCTCCCACTGAGAGCTGGTAAAAATATTCTGCAGCTAAATGACAGGGTTGTAGAAATTACTGGCTCCTTACTGAAGAAGAGATGAGTTTCTGGAGCTAGGCATTTCCTTCTTGTTTCTCAGTGAAATAATATTTTTTTCAGGAACACTACTTATAAAACAGTACCAGTTAGTTCACTGTGCTGGCATATTCTATTACAGAAAGATTCCAAAAAATCTATTTGTGAACATAAACAAGACTTCTGTAACTTCAAAAGCTGTCACACAAGTGAGCGAAATAGGACCTGGGACTGAATGTTTCCAGAGAGTAGTTACAGGCAGCTACATAAAAAATGCATTGTGTGGGACAGCTCACTGCCATTTCTTAGCACCCTGGTGTCCTGTGGTCCAACATTTGGGTCCAGCATCCATTCTGCAGAGAAGGAATTGGAATGAAATGCCAACACATTAATTACCTCCTGCATGGGTTCAGACTTGCCATCACTGCCACTGCAAAGAACAAAAAACAAACAAACAAACAAACAAACAAACCAAAAACAAACAAACAAACAAACAAAAAAGCTGAACTCACAATTTTGTGATTGTCAGGGACTCTTGGCTCTCTCACATGATACCTTATCTGTGCCTCCAGAAAGGCAGCTACTTGTGCTCCTGGTACTTTGCCTCAGTGCAGGCTGTGAATGTCAGTTTTTAAGCAGGTGGACAGACATGAGAGATGAAATCTGCTTCACCTGGCAGCTGTTAGAAACCCGGGCAGGATTTGAAAGCAAAAATAAAAATACAGACTTTCCACGGCTAGTGACAGATTATGAAAAGAAGTACCAGCATTACAGGAAAAGCATCAGCTTGGGTAAATATTTAAACCAAAGGAACGTATCCATTTATTAATTGTCTTGTGATAAGAGCACTTATTTTCAGACAAGTGTGGTCATAAATATCTGTTTCTTCAGCTCATTCCAACTCAAAGAGTGAGAGTAAATGATATCAAGTATACATGTGATTACATGTATGTACTTGGACTTGGATCCCAAGGTGTCTCATATTTTCCACTGTTTAAATCTGGAAAAAAATTGAGTGTTTTCCTTTTTTTTTTTCTCTTTGATGTGATAATTTTGCTATGCTAAATTTGATATAATTTTCTAAACTAGGAGAAATTTATAAGCAAACAGACAAAAACAAGCCCACAAAGATTGAGGTATTAGCTAATTATGTGAGAATATGGAACGAATAACTTGCTTTCCCAACAATTTCCTTTGAACACAGCAAAATAGAATCATTGCATATAGAGTGGATTTTTTAAATGTCTCTCTGGGTATGTTCTTTTTTTAATCACTGTGTTTTGCTGGCATTTCTGAAGTTTAGAATATATTTCTAACTTAATATAAAAACTATTCCTAACAATTACATTAGTTGTATATAAAAGTAATGCAAGTGTCAGTATATATTATATTACAGGAGGGTGGCAATACCACCAGCACTCCCTCAAAATTTAACTCTCATTCATTTTTGTAATTACACAAAAATGTGCTCCCTAATTACACAGGAGACATTTTATAATCATCTACTTGCTACTAGCCATACCAAGGTGTTTATTTATGGCAGAAATTATTCTCAGATTATCAGAAGCAAAATAATTTATAACTATTTCTAATTTATGCAAGTTTAATTTATAGTGGACACAGGCTGTTTGGCAAGAAACTGGCAATTATTCTCACTAAAGGAGCAACTAAATTATAACTTAGCATTTTAACTACAGTGACAAAGAATGTGAATGCAAACAGTAAAGTGAAAACAGATGCATGACTGTCATTTTGGAACTAAAGCAGGAAAACTGAAAACTCACACATGACCATCCTGGTTTGAAGCAACATTACCCAAATGTTTTGTGCAATTGCGTGACTCTCATCAACAAATTTGTGGTTTCTCTCTTCCTAAAAGTCTGCCCATATTCTCGTGGAGTTCCTTTGGAATTGGTGTTAGTTCTGTTGCTGAACACCAGAAGAGGAAGTATTGCTACAGGAACAGGAGTGAAGAAATGGGAGGGAGAAAGGCTCTTCCAGAGCAGTCTATGTGATCGGGTGGGTTTACAAAAACCAGTAGTTCTAGCAAAAACAGACCCCTGTAGGATGGCCCCAGCTGACTCAGCCCAAATCCAACTTCCTTTGCTAAATTTCTAAATGCTTAAAGAGGGGAATGCACTACGCTCTTCTTACCTAGTGTCTTAGTATCAGTCATTTTAATAAGAGGTCTTGAAATGAAGACCTTCACTGGTAAGTTCTCAGTTCTGATAAGCCATAATGCTCTATAATGATTTTAATTGTCTTTAAATGAATTCCAAAACTTTTAGCAAACCTGAACCCAAATATACAGGCACATGTAGAAGATAATTGCAATTTAAAACTTATCTCTTCCAAAGTACTGTTTTTTTTTGTTGATGTTGTTGTTATAATATTCCTGCTGTCTTTGAATTTTTGCTCCAGGGCTGAACTACTACACCATGAATTATCAACCCTATGAATTTCTGCATAGGAAAATTAAGGAATTTGTTTTCTTCCTGTAGTTGACAGGGTGGATATAAAGAGCTGATAAGGATGTAGAATTTTGGCTCCCTCCACCATTGCCAGTGTGGCAGCCAGAGGAGGTAGTTCCAGGGAAAACAGCCTTCTGCCTCTGAAAAGTCACATCTCAGTAATCCCAGCAGCCTTCACCATTACTCCATGGTGGTTAAGCAAAGGTGAGCCTTGATTCTAGTGACAGAGGCTAGGAGCAGAGTGCCTTACTACCGAGAAGGACAGGACAGAGGGGAGCTTGTATGACGAGGGACTCACATCAATCTGTCTTTCAGATAAAGTAGTAAGGTGCATTTCTGGAAATTATCATGTCCATACACATAACAAATTTGGTATCTGTTCTGCACCAGTGCTGTAACCACACATACCAATATTCAGGACTGAAATAGTTCTATGGAGCAGTAACTCCTGTAATAGAACATGTAATGTACTAAACATGTTACTAGGTGGGAAGGTGTACCCTCTGAAAATCCAGGCAACTTCTGCTTCATGGCTCGTACAGGGCTATAATCTGTCTTTTTTTTCATACTAAATTGTAATGTTTCCTAATGTATAGACTCTTCAGATTGCTTATTAAAAACTGGCTTTGCCAAACTGGTATTTAATTTCTAGACACATCTGGAGAGACATTGTTATTACGCCTTTCAGAATCATGCACAATATTTCTGTCATAATTTATCAACTACTGCCACCAAGAATGAGCTATTCCTATTTAAAGAAGCAGTGTTTCCAAGCAAAACCAGCTCAGTTGCTAAGTGAGCAAAAGCAAAACAAGGGGAAAGGCATTTAATGCATAAAATGTGTAAAAATATGTTTTGAATCTGTGAAAAAAGTTAACACATAGAAATGTGCAGCTCTTAGTTGGAGTTGTCTTAGGAGCATATAATCTTAAGTGCCACGTGAGCAAGTACTACTCTATTTAGACAAAATATTTGCAGTATTTCAGCCTACAAGTTTTCCTAAGAAAGTTGCTCTTCAAATTGCATGATAGGAAAATTCTACATATAAATTAATTATGTTAAAAATTATTTAAGTTCACTATAAATAAAAAAAAAGCTGCCTAACATCCCAAAAGGTATCCCTTCACTATAGAGGTTCTCTCAAATTATACTTGTGTTATTTCTCTCTGTGTTAATCAGACTTGAGTGGAGCAGCCAGACCACAAAGCTCTTGCAGTTCACACTCTCTGATGCAGGGAACTACATGCCAAATCCACAAAACCGTTGATGAGTCTAATCCTTACACTCCAAGATAGTTCCTACAGCAACAGAACTCAAGTGCTTCTTTGAAATTAGGTGCTGTGCTACTTGACCTCAGATGACTGGACACCTTCTGCACTGGCTAGCTGGAGCCCACAGCAGTGCCTTGGGGAAGGAGGCACATTTCCCTGTTAGGTTGTTCACGCTGAACAGAGCAAAGCTTAAATTAGCCGAGTAGCAGGGCTGCAAGAACCTTTGAGGGTTTAAATGCCCTTGGCTGCACTGGTTCTGCCTCCAACTGGGACCTGTAGCTCAAAATCCTCCCCTGAAAGCAGCGCCTTTATGCAGTATAAAACACAACATCCAAAACATGTATCAGTCAATTTTTTTTTTTCTAGACAAGAATTTTCTAAGTGTTTCTCAACAGAAATTCCACAACAGTGAGTGGGAGGGTCAAAATTTTACATTATAACAATCAAACTGAGTCTCTTGAGGGGAGGGGGGGGGGGCGGGGGGGGGGGATTCCTTTTCTCTCAGCCAACAAATTTTCCCAAAATCTCTC